TGATATACTAAAACTTTTGTATTGAACATTTTTTTCCATAAGCATTATTTTCCAAGATATTTGACCGTTGCCGAACTTTCTCCCATCACTGTATAATATAGCATTATGAGTATGCATACTTATTTAGAGAACATTTATACATGTAATAAAAAATCAATAACTTAATAATATAAAATTTCAACCGAAATATGTTCCCAGATACTAATGATATCCGGTCGGATAATAAAAAAAGTGCCGGATAATACCGGATACCGAATACTTTTCGGATATCCGGTGCATCCCTTGTTGAAAAACTAAGAGATAGAAAAAAAATATTTCGAATGAAAGTTGAATGCTTAAAAGCTGAAAAGTACTTTATAAAAAATTAATATATAAAAAGTAATTTATAAAAAAATACGTATCCCTTATTTTTGTCTAGAAAGCAACATATTCAAAACTTAATTCAAAATGTCTCGGAAAGAGACACTTTTATGGGTTTCCTTGTGAGTTATTTTCGAACAACACCTCTCTTTTGGGGATAATTTTAAAAGATTTTATAATTGCAAAGAGGATACAAGCAGTTTAAGAGTGTCCGAAATAATTCTTTTTACATGAAATTTTGTTATGTATTCGCAGAAGTTTCAAGACAGTCTACATGATTACCAATAAATTCGCCATTCGACTCATACGGAATCTGGAATTGGGGATATTTCTTTGTTTTATTAATTAACTTGTAAAATAAAGGTACGCAATTACATATTTTTTCTTTTATATGATAGTAATACCTGTTACAGTATTTTCGATTAGACTAGAAACTTTATGCTGGATTTCCTATTCTCGTTTTCGGTTTTTCGGGATTAGAAATAGAGCTGTCTAAGCCGTGGCTCACGTGCAATTAATTTTATAGTTCATTTATCACCACTTCGTGTCGCAACTTCACCGTGCTTGTAACTTTTGCGAATTGTACGGCAAAATGGTCTTAACTACATAATGATTTAGATAAGCTCCAGTAAATACGGTCAAAGACAGAGAAACTAGTGGTGATATATGTGCTTGAAACTTAAATTGTCGGGAGTCACAGATTAGATATACCTAAGTTAAAATATGAATCATAGTCAGCACATAATGCAGCATCGTAAGTTTACCGCGAAACGGCAATATTTTGTTCTCTCTTTCTGTACTGTGAAAAAAAAAGAAAAAGATTTTCCGTTTCAAGCCGATGCATGAACCTATTTTCTACTTCTACGTTGATTATGAGGATGTAAAACAAAATAAAGATAATCTTCGATTTTAACATTTAGTACACTTTGCACAGGAGCGATGTTTCTTTTTTTTTTTTTTTTTTATATTTGTTCAGAGAGAACCCATCCCGATAAATAATTTTATCGAAGCGAGAACGCAATACTTCGGTATTCTATATATTTGCTAGAATAGCCGCAGATAATTCAATCGTTTCACTGCAGATAGTATTGTTATAGTTGTCACGCTTCTTTCTGAAGTGATGGTACACATCGAATAAACGAACAATGAAGATGGAATCGAACATTAATGGAATCATTTTGATGGTACATATATTTGGCATCTCGTACATATCTTCCAAAATTTTGAAGAATTCGTTGTTTTGTTCATTCGTTGCGCACACATTCTTTCACGCGAATGATTTATGACTTTAAAAATTAACACAGAAGGGTGACAATAAAACGATTCTCGTATATTTCACAATCATGTCCTTGTCTTGTAAAATTAGGAAAAAATGCGTAGTATTAACAAACACAAACAGATTTACTTATTAAATCAGGCGAGGCTAATTGTTTTTCAACCTCAGATCTCTGTAGTTCTGTCATTCGGTGCGATCAGTGAAAGAAATATTTTAATCCGTTTACGTTTATTTTCTTTATACGACGGTCGAAAGTTAATCGAACAAAATTATTTTACGACAATTCACATCGTGGATTTTAATATTTCATCACGCTTAATTTTAATATTTTTTATTTTATTTTGTCTATCACCTTTCGTTATTTTCTCTTAAATGAATTTTGCAGATTCTGTTTCAGGTTCGAGATATATTCGACAATATTTATATAAAACGTACATTAATATGTAATTATGTGAATATGAATTAAGTTTACTTTGCCGCAGTTTTATTGCGTTTTGACTATGATTGAACATTTGTGCCTGGAAGAACAATTATATCTACATTCACCTGCAGAGATAGATTATGATTGTGAAGGCTACGATTAAAAATATTTCAAAATCGAATAAGGAGGGCTCTAATCGTCGCAGAATAACATGATGTAAAAGAAAGCATACAGAATAAGAATCACGGCACGACAATGTGAACAATGCTCTCGACACGCGATGCGATCTTTAATTATTAATATTCACGTGAAATTTATTTTTTTTTTTTTTTTTAGGGAAAAGTATTTTGATTACATCGCTAATATCGAAACTGTGATTAGATGGTCAAATTTACGGTAGTACATGGCTTAAATAAGCGTTCTCATCAAAACTTAAGACAAATACTCTTAAAACTGTTCACGAGCGAATACTTTGTGTTGATTGCGTGGACTTTATCGACGACTTTTGTACACTTATATCTGCGTCGAAAAAAAAACTTCTAATACAGGAATCGAGGAAAAGTGTGGAAATCACAAAATGACCAGAGTGAAGTGTATGAATGTAATTAAATACGAATTGTTGGACGCGACTCAGTAATTCTAAGTAATTCTAACTTGTCAAGAATTGCTGCTGCAGATACGGCGCTGCGTCTCAGAATTCGTTATTATTTTGTTTTTTTCGTTATCACGTTAACCGCGTTAATCAATTTTTCTATTTTATTATTTCAGTCTTTCATTCGCACGTTTGGATTGCGATTACGCGCGGCGGAATAATCTTTTATGCGTGAAGAAAAGCGATTTTGAAGCGGTGTGTCTTCCCGCAGCAATTCCATGTTTCGAGATAATATTTTGTAGGCGAAAAACTTAGAGCTTCCGTTTGAATCAAAATCGTCTGGAAGCGTCTTCCTTAATCTCAATATACTGAGTTTGCAGAGATTTCGCAATTTCGTTTGTACATACATCCACGAAATGAAAACTCATGACCGCGAGGTATCGGAGATATTTTTTCATCGCCATTTCATCGCTATTCTCGTGCATCTATCGAGTATAATTCTGAGAGCCGTCGAACGTATCAAATGAACGAGCGGTTCGACGAGGAACAACTATAATTTTGCATTATTAAGGGTCGAGGTTTTGGAGCGGTGATTACGAAAGTTTATTGTTTTTTCGACAATGTCATTTGACTTGCGTTCCCCAGAAGAATATATCACGTACGAATCCCCGAAATCCCTTCAAACATAACATTCGACCCTTCCAGCGTGGAACTCTTTAAAGGCCTGAGAAAAAACGTCAATCGTTTTGCTTGCTGTAATTTTGTATTTATGCAAAGTAGTAAACCGCGTCCGAATTTGTATATTTCCATTTGCCGAAACATACTATTTTTTTAATTGTAGCATCTTACTGTCCTATATATCGAT